GCCTGGACACGGAGAGGTGAGGAGTGTACCCGCACACCCCGTGCAGCCTGGACACGGAGAGGTGAGGAGTGTACCCGCACACCCTGTGCTAACTGGACACGGAGAGGTGAGGAGTGTACTTACACACTCTCTGCCACCATGCTGGTGCATTTGCTTCTGTTGTGTATGCTTGAGTGATTCTGTGTCCAGTTCTGTGTTTTTCATACATTACTTTTCAGATTCTGTGTTTTGTGGTTAGTGATTTAGGGAATGTTTCTGATAAAGAGATTTATGGGAAACATTCCCAGAAAACAAACAAGACGAGAAGCATATATTATCTTTTGTGGTTTGTTATTGGAGGCCTTGCCGGAGCATCACAGGGAATCGGGATTCTGAGAGCATGCCAGCTGTGTGGAGGCATGACGCAGGCGCCTGAGGTCACAAGGGGGTGGGGCTTCACCTTGTCATGCTCGAACAGCTGCAGCAGGAAGGTGGCCACCGTGGCTGTGATGCCGATAAAGAGGTTGATGACGATGAGGAAGACGTAGGCTGTGCTGGGCACCTCAAACCAGAAGGACGCTGGGTACATGATCGGAGTGATGGACCAACTGCAGAGAGCGGGATGTGGCCATCAGACTGTCGTCACGGTAACAGTAGGGCCAATCGGAACACTCCAAATTCTAACATACATAAACTCCTTTAGAAATCAGAAGGATTTCTACTACTTTTATTGTTCATTTTCTTAATCAGCTTTCCAGTTCTGTTGAGATTTAAGGTGAGTGTCTAATCGGTGATTTAAGGGGACTCACCCGTACAGTAGGAAGAGTGACAGGACAGCTGGGAAGTTGGTGGGGGAGGTGTACGCAGGAAGGTCGAACACGAAGAGAATGAGGACGCAGCAGGTGGCAGGGACCAGGTAGTTCAGCTGGCAGGGGAAGGCACCAGTGAGGTCAAACGGCGGACAGAAGCGGGGTGCTGATGCGGCGCAGGCATGCACATGCACACGCACGTCGCAGTTCCTGCACCGCTGTGTTTGCGATACAGTCTCACTGTACTTAAGGATCTGTCGCCAAGCCACCGAAACCCAGACAGAGGAAAATCAATCGCAAACAAAAAACGATTCTGTCACTTTGATGGTATTAATTTAAAGCTGACAAGTGTTTCAAAAAGCTCAAGCTTGCTGCGTGTGTCACTACCCCCAACACACACACACACACCCCTCAGTCTGCTCCCTCACCATGTCCCAGATGTAGTTAGCCAGCCAGTAAATGACCGGGTCGCAGCCGCTGACAAACTGCAGGTGCTTAGCCTTAGTGGACTTCTCGGCAACAAGGAAGACGACGAAGCTGGCTGGCACAAAGGACATGGCCACGATGATGAAGATGGCGATGACCACATCGGTGCCCTGCAGTCTGGGGGGGTAACAATGCCTGATAAGCATGAGGGCATTGGCTCCCATTTAGACGAACAAAGGGATAAAGTTAGTTCATCAACAGGGCTTGAGAGACAAGTTCATTCAAGTGTGCTTCAAATGATCATGTACATCAATTCTCCATAGTTCAGTGACACAGCACACATTCTCCCGAGTCCTCTGAATGTTCCCTGACCCACATCTCACCCATCACAACCTTGTGACAAGAAGGACACAGATTCTTAAACAGCAGAATACCCCAGCTTTAGACATGCTCCTGCTGCCTGTAGGGGAATCCCAGTTCAATTCCATTTCAATGCAATTTATTTTTATGCAGCGCTTTTTACAACAGAGTCTCCCCAAGGTACGAGTCTGTGACAATCCATTACTACATAGTCTGTACAAAATGGTGCATGAAACAGAAAAAAACGAGAAAGAAGGAATGTCAGAAGACAATGGAGGAGAGGAACCAAAAACTCCCAAGTAAAAAGGACAGAAAAGACTCTTGGGGTCTGCATGTTAACGAGGGTCAGGGTGACGGGCACAGAGAGGGCAGGAAGGCGGAGAGCGTACAGGTAGTCCAGGGAGAGACTGGCGCTCGTCCGGTTCATGGGGTGGTTGGTCACTGTTATGCCTGAAAAAACACGAGCAGGTCACAGGTCAGACACTGAAGCTACAGCTCCGGAATGAACCATTGCCGTCGAACTGAAACGAGGCCATTTGTAAAGTATGAGTACGGGTAGAGGTACAGTGGAACGCTTCAGTTTTCATATCTCCCATCATGCTTTCTTTTAAGACATGCATAGACTTATAGAGGTGAGAGCGAAGCTGGGGGCCTGAGCAGAGGGTCAGCCATTTATCCCCTTGGGGTATTTTGGGGTGGGGTAAAGGTCTCGCTCAAGGGCCCAATGATGACACCAGTCTGCTGACCTCCAATCATAGACCCAGTGTCCTAACTTGCTGAGCAACACACCCCCCATACCACCCCCCTAAAGTGATGCCACCCGACACTCCCTGGTACCCTCCCTGACCGTAAGCTGCAGGGTTTCCCTTGCTCGGGGGTAGGTTGGCCCGCAGGATGGCGTTGTTCAGCACGTTGAGATAGGTGGGCATGCTGTGATATCCCTTGTTGTTGTACAGCACCTGCAAAGGGAGGAACAGCCCAGTTACCAAATGATTGGTTGTGTCAGTTTGATGGGTGAGCATGAGAGCAACTGGCACCACGAACCTGGGCCGAACGCCGCACTGCGATTTTGCGCACCATGGGTGGGATATTCTTCCCAAAGGAAGCTGGGATGGACTTCTGGATATTCCCCACTGTGATCCCCCCATACCTGCAACAGAGATGGTGCATCACCTTCATGCCCCGCCTCTCTGATTTAAGCCCCGCCCCTCCCCCATTCGAGCCCTGCCCATTGGCCTGCCTCACCCCTCCCCATCAGTGCGGGGGCATCACCTGTGCAGACGGAGGCGGTCTGACGTGTACAGCAGGTACTCAGACACGTTGCGGCCGGTTATGTCCACCAAGATGTCCCCCGTGACCACCTTGGTGAGTGGCGGCCTGCCCCCGACACCGCTGGGGCACGAGAAGCCCGTGCCCTGCATGGAGCAGATGCAGCGCACTGGCTCGTGGATACTCTGCGGCAGGGACGGTGCCGACGTCACCGTCTCTGGGGACGCAGGACACAGTGGTTAGTCTCTCACGTTAGGGACAATGCAGAGGCCGGTTGGAGCATCTGCAGGAATCTTTTTATGGAGACGCAGGCTGATATCTATTTCTTCACAATACTACTAGCTACTAGCCTATGGAGAGCAGGGAGGCTGTCGGTAGTAAGGCATACCGTGAACGGTGGTGGGGGGGGCGGCAGTGTAGTTCCAGGTCCCATCCTCGTAGCCTGGCTCGGGGTCATCGGAGGGCGCTGGGGATGGGGGAGGGGGCACGAAGTTGGACAGGGGCACGCCCTGAGTGAAGGAGTCCAGGCACATTGAGTCAAAGTAGCGTGCTGCCAGCGTTTTGGCGTTGTTGGCGCTGGGGTTGAGGGTCTGTGCCAGTTGGTCCAGCGTGCTGTTGAAGGGGGTCTTGAGCACGCAAGTAGCCCCCACACCCGAGGGCAAGCGCAGTGTGTTGATGATCTTCTGTGGGTTGGCGTCTGCGGAGAGCTTGCTCCTGAGAGTCAAAATACGGTCATGCATCCATCTCCCATAACTAACCACTCACCTAGTACAGGGTCACTGTGATGCTGGAGCCCATCCCAGGATGCACTGGGAACACAGGCCAGTACATCACAGGGCTCACACTATCAACACTAACCTGGGCAGTTCAGAGACAACAGTTTGCCAAAATGAATGTTTCTGTGCCACAGGAGGAGCCCATAGTCTTCAGGAAACACAATGATGAGGTTTTTGGTCATGCGAAGGACAGGCTGGATGCTGCCGACTGACCTGTACTGGGCGCGGTCCTCGTTGGCATAGGGAATAAAGTTACCCCTCGGCTGGGTGTAGTTGTGGTACTGGGAGGGAGATAGAATGAGGGGGGGCAGGTCACCTGCAGAACAAAGATGATCCAGATCAGAGGAGCACGTGTCAGCAGAGTGAGCAGCACATGAAGGACAGAAATGAGAATAAAGGGCAGTAAACAGCAGCCCGGAGTGCCCCCCCCCACCTATCTCGGGCACGGACAGGGCGACGGTCATGGCCACGCAGACGAAGAAGGCAGGCAGCATGATCTGTGAGAAGAGCCCCTTGGTGTTCCGCTTGGCGCAGTGGAAGCGCTTGACGATGAGGCCGTGGAACTGCCGCAGACGCAGCCACCAGCCCTCCAGCTTGAAGCTGCCCTGCCCCTCCAGCAGAAGCGGCACATCTGCCAGGGGGGGCGGCACATCTGCGTGAAGGGGTGGGGAGAAGACGGCAGGCAGCTTCACACTTCTGCATGCGGTGTGTGTCTTGCTCTACAGCCTGGTCTGACTGTACCCCCCAGAGATACTGCACGCCCCAAACCCCCCTCAGTTACTCTCTGTCCCCCCACCCCCCAGTCCTCCTGCAGTGGCCCCCGGCCACCTCACCCTGAGTGCTGGCGCTGTCGGGGTCCTGGCTGTTATTGAAGAGAGGGCAGTAATCCCCGTAGAACTCTGAGTAGAGGCCGCCCTCGTCGCCCCGCACGGAGCCCAGCGAGGAGGCCGAGCGCAGCGAGCTCAGGCTCTGGCTCAGCTGGGAGCACATCACCAGGTTGCTGAGCTCCACCTCGGGCCGAACGGTGCCCCCTGCTGGCTGCACCTCACACTGCGGCCCGGGCAAACAGGAGTTCTTTCCCGCAGAGCTTCCGGGGGAGTCCTTCAGATCTGCGGGGGGGGGACAAACTGCTCAGTGAAAAAGCATAAACATCCCTGGGCCAGTGCTGGGCAGCCTGGCAGGCCCAGACGGCACGTGCCCATGGACAGGTTAAGCACAGGGAGCCCTCTAGTGGCCTCTATGTTAATAATCAGTGTGAAATGTTACGTTACCAGTGGCTAAAAAACACCCCACAAATTTTATATCCCTTTGCCCATTAACAACTATATGCTGATCATTAAACCTAGAGTTTCATTTTCTTTGTTTATTATCAGTTGTTTTTCTGACCCTTAATTTCACTTCCACCCTTAATAGCCTCTTGCTGCTATTTATTCCTTCACTGACTTTTTTGTCGTGTTTTACTGCCTGTTTGATCTTATTGCTATTTCAGTGTTTACTGTGATCCATCTCCTCTGTCCCACTGCCTCAGTGTTGGCATTTTGTGATCATGTCACTGTTCTGCTAATCTGATCGCAGATTGTAGTAATGACAATAATAAGATATTTAATCTGTAAAGCACATTTGTTACACCCAATATTTATTTTATTTTTTACAAATAATAAAATAATAATAATAAGTCCCTTCGGCCGAGACCGAGATATTCCTTTGCTCCCACAGCTGCTGAATGAGGAGTAGACAGACAGACACACACACACACACAGACAGACAGACAGATACACACACACACACACACACAGACACACACAAACATATAGACACACACACACAGACAGACAGACAGACACACACACACACACACACACAGACAGACAGCCACAGACAGACAGACAGACAGACAGACATAGACAGACAGACACAAATAGACAGACAGACAGACACACAGACAGACACAGACACACACTCCCACACTCAGCAGAGCTGGGCCGCTTCACTGCACAGAGTCTCCAGCAGACCAGAGCTTTATTTTAACGTCTACCTTTCATGGATATATCTGCACAAACCTGCCATTTCAGCAGGGATTTAAAGAAGAATATGCATTTAATGGTGGTATAATTCCGTAGGGAACCAGAGCAAGGCTGCAGTCCAGCTCAGAGTCATGAACACCTCCAGATATTCAGTGATACAGGAAAGCAGGAGTGGGAGAAGAAATGCAGTCACCTGACTCTCCTCGCCAAATCAAACGGCGGCCACAGCTCACCTTTATCAAACGTGTTTGTTTATTATATGGTCATGTGAGACAGACAGTAGATTTATAATTATAACTTATTTATTGTTTCTAACTGCACTAATGCCCCCGCGCCCCCCTCCCGCCCTACTGCTCACCGGCATCGCTGTTCTCCAGCGACTGGTCCTCCTCAGACACCTTGAGGAACACTTCTTCCAGCGTGGTGTCCATCACCCCAAAGCTGGTTAGAGCCAGGCTGTCCAGATTCTCCTCCAGAGCCTGAGGTGAGACCACAGTCTTGAGACAACTTGTGGGTTCATTTTATATTTGGAAGACGTCTGTTAGGAGACACTGCAGACTTTGAGCAGAATCATCTCACCCACTCTACCATGACCTCTGCCCCCCTCTTCTTGCCTACATCCTGCCTCCATCATCTCCCTTCAGCACAAACCTAGAAGACCGTCATCACCGCCCCCTGACCACCTTCATAGGCCATCCTTACATATTCCCCCAAAACATCAAACCCCGCCCCCTGGGCCAACCCATCATTTCCCTCTGTACCTGAAAGAGCCTTTCGAAGCACCCCTTCTTGATGGCCTCCGAGGGCAACACATAGGACAGCTCTGTGTTTGAGTCGGACACCAACAGGCAGGAGGCCACGAACTGGCGGATGAAGTGGGTGACCCGGGCCTCAGAGCACGGAGACAGAGAGGAAGGCGGTGCAGAGGATGGCGACAGGGAGCAGGGCTGGGCAGCAGGCTGGCTGCTGGGGTCTTCTGCGCCGCACACAGCAACAAGGGAGGCAAGCGAGCACATGGGAAGTAATTATGAGGAGATAAAATTATGAAGGGATGAGGAAAAGCGCCGAGGCAGCTGCAGCAGCCCACGCACCAGTGGAAGGCGAGTCACTCTGCTTCTTTACTAAAGTGAGCTTGTAGCCGTCGCCGTAGGTGCTCTTGAGGAAGAGTGGAGAGCCGCAGCACTTGAGCTTCCCGTGGGAGATGATGGCGATGCGGTCGCCCAGCAGATCGGCCTCGTCCATGTGGTGGGTGGAGAGCAGGATGGTGCGGCCTGTGCGGGGGGGACAGGAGGCTCACATCATAGCCCCACACTCACGAGCACAGAGGCTCACAGTGAATCCAGTCAGGGCGCAGTGTCTCTTTGTCATTCTCCCACAACTGTTGGTTTCAATTAGCCATAGCAAAGCTTATTAAGGGGCAGCGTGTGGCTCAGTGGGCTAAGCCTGTGTGCCTGTAATCACAAGGTTGCTGGTTCAAACCCAGCCTCAGAACGTCTGTGGGTCCTTGAACAAGGCCCTTAACCCCCAGCTCCCTGGGCGCCCCAACAGGTGGCTGTCCTTCTACAAAGAGCAAGTTGAGGGAGGCGTAAAAACAATTTCCCCACGGGGATCATTAAAGTATCAATAATTATTAGTAATCCTGTTCCAGTGTGCCGAATTACTGTGGAAGTGGAACATATAACCATAGAAGACTGAGGTAAACGAAGACAGGATGTCAGAATCAGACATGCTGAGCTCGATGTGTCTTACTGCATCATCACCACGGCCTGGCACTATTACAGATCAGCCTCAGTGGTCACCACCTGCTTCTGCGACCACCTTGAAACATGTCTGTGTGTGTATCACATGTGCATGTCTGTGTAAAACATGTGCATGTGTCTATCACATGTATGTGCATTGCATGTGTGTGCATCACATGTTTGTGTATATCACATATGTGGGTGTGCATCTCATGTATTTATATCACATGTGTGTATCACATATGCATATGTGTAAATTGCACATGCGTGTATCACATATGTGCGTAATGCATGTGTCTATCACGTGTATATCACGTGTGTGTATTACGTGTGCATCACTTGTGCATGTGTGTATCATGTGCATGTGTGCATCATTTGTGCGTGTGTGTATATCACTCACATGTGTGTGCATGTATATCACATGTGCGTGTGTGTAAAACAGGCCTCACCCTGCTTGTACTTGAGGATGAGGTCCCAGATGGCGCGGCGTGCGTACGGGTCCACGCCAGCTGTGGGCTCGTCCAGGATGACCGCGCGAGAGCCACCCACGAAGGCAATTGCCACTGACAGCTTCCTCTTCATGCCACCCGAGAGCGTCTGCACCAGGCTGTGCCGCTTGTTGGACAGCTCCAGGTCCTCGATCATCCTGACACCGGGAGCAAGAAGCCACATGGACATTGGTACATCACACAAGCTAACTACTGTTCGTTTCACTTCCTGTAATGCAAGTGAATCTACAAGGCAAGGCTTACCCAGTAAGTCTAACCCAGGAAGCCTAACCCTAACCCTAATCCAAGAAATTTAACCCAGGAAGCCTAACCCAGGAAGCCTAATCCAAGAAACCTAACCCAGGAAGCCAAACCCTAACCCTAAGCCAAGAAACCTAACCCAGGAAGTCTAACCCTAACCCTAATCCAAGAAACCTAACCCAGGAAGCCTAATCCAAGAAACCTAACCCTGGAAGCCTAACCCAGGAAGCCTAACCCTAACCCTAATCCAAGAAACCTAACCCAGGAAGCCTAACCCAGGAAGCCTAATCCAAGAAACCTAACCCAGGAAGCCTAACTCTAATCCTAATCCAAGAAACCTAACCCAGGAAGCCTAATCCAAGAAACCTAACCCAGAATGCCATACCCATGAAGCCTTACTCAGAGAGGCAGACAGGAAATCAGAATACAGCAGAATACCGCCGGTCGGCCTAAATGCCAATAGTTACATTTATTTGTTTATCAGATACTTCTGCCCAAATCAGGGTACAGGTGAGGGCAGCCTGGGCTCAGAGAGCAGCATCAGCTAAGCACACAGAGCTCCCAAAACAGCTGAGGTTAAGGCTCTCGCACAGGGGCCCAACAGCGGCATGATTATTCTGCCAACCACGAGATTCAAACCCACAACCTTCAGGAAACAGGCACAGATTTATAAGCCACTGAGCTGTACATTTGAGTATCTAAATTTATATGGCTGGCATGCCTGGGGGTGGGGGGGCAGCCAGGTGACCTTGGACCCCCAGAGGTGCTCCTATCCTAAAAGTCTGGCCTAAAAGCCCTTTGTTCATCTCCTTTGCTGCCTTCCAGACTTTTCTGCTTGTAAAGTATAAGTGTGTTTTCAGAGGTGTGTGCTGTGGGGTAGAGCACTTTTAAAAATACAGAGAATAAAAAGGAAAATACTGATAATGTAGGTGGGGGGGTGACGCACTTGTCCATCTCCTTGCGGATGTCCTCCTCGGCCATGCCCTTGAGGCGCGAGTAGAACCACAGGTGTTCCTCTACGGTGAGCTTGTCGAAGAGCACGTTGTGCTGCGGGCACATGCCCAGGTTCTGCCGGATGCGTTCCATCTCTGTGCGGATGTCGTGGCCGTAGATGGTGGCAGAGCCTGATGTGGGGGGGAAGAGCCCCGTCAGGATGGACCTGTGAGAAAGTGAGCAGTCAATACTGGAGAAGAAAGGAGAGGCGCGGGTGAGGAGCAGACCCGGGGGAGACATGAGCAGTCAATGCTGGTGGTAAGGAGAGGGGCATGGGGGAGGAGCAGACCCAGGGAGATGTGAGAGGTCAGCACCAGAAGAGAGGGGAGGGGCGTGGGGGAGGAGCAGACCTGAGGGGACACGAGCGGTCAGCACCGGAGTTGAGGAGAAAGGCGTTGGGGAGGAGCAGACCTATGGGGATGTGAGCGGTCAGTGCCAGAGGAGAGGGGAGAGATGTGGGGGAGGAGCAGACCTATGGGGATGTGAGCGGTCAGTGCCAGAGGAGAGGGGAGAGATGTGGGGGAGGAGCTGGCCTCAGGGGTAAAAAACTTTTATGTTTGACTTTATGAAGACAAACAAATTTTTGCCCAGAAATTTCTTTGATAATTATGGATTTGCCCAAAAAATAACTGTCCAGGCTTCGGGTAGGATACCAATAAATGCAGTAAAAAGGCAAAAGACACATGAACAAAATCATATACATGGTTCCTGACATACACAGACATACAGACAGACACCAACACACACACAGACACGTAAGCCTCACATGGTGGTGGTCTTGCCGGCGCCATTGTGGCCCAGGAAGGAGACCACCTGATTCTCGTGGAGGTTCAGGCTTAGCTTGTTGAGAGCCAGCTTGCTGCCCGTCTTGTAGACCTTGGTCAGCTTGTCGATGCACACCACCAGGGGGAGGTGGCTGGGCTCCTCCTCGATGCCCCGCGTCTCTTCTGGAGGAAGGATACAGAGGCCTTCACACTCTGCTTTGTGACCCTCATCCCCTACCCCCCCCCCCCAGCTCAAAGCCAGTGGATTCAGCTTCACCATCAAAGTGAAAAGAGGTATGGGGGGAGCAAGGGGGACGCACCACTCCGCCGGTGCTCCATAGCACAGGCTTGGTCCTCCTCCATCACGCTGAGCCTGGTTCCGGTCCCCCAGGGCCACTCCCATGTCTCGACACGGCCACTGCCCAGCCAATAGGATTTCTGGAGTGGGAAATACCAGGGCCGGGGCAGCCCAAACATTCCTGCGGGGTGAGAGGGGGGGCATGAATGTCCTGTTTTAATGCTTTAAGAAACATGGAATTCCAGTAGAGTGTAAATATAAAGGAATATGTGGTTTACATCTGAATCAATGTTGTTGTCATTCCTGCTCCAAGCTGCACCTCCTAGTGGTGAGGAGATGCAGCTGGCATGCAGGACCTCACCTGGATGCACAGCCTCGATGTACCAAGTGAGCACTCCGTACACTGTGGCGTCAATGATCAGCATCACCATGGAGAGCAGCAGGTTGAAGTCATCACCCTCTACTGGCGACTGGTTGATAGTGCGCCACTGGATTCCCACCCCAGCCACCTCATAGAGGGCGAAGTACTTGGAGCCCAGGCCAAAGGCGGTGGTCGACATCAGAGACTGTAGAAAGAATGTAGGCAGGATGAGAGGAGTTAGAAAGGAGACAAGGAGAGGAAAGACAACTTAAGCCAGCGGGGGAGCCCCCCCCACCAGCGTGACAGAAGCTCTTCCTCCTCAGCGCTGAGCCCCAGATCTGACCTCCAGATTGTGTGAGCATTCGAGACTCCCACACAGATCAGGCGGCCAGGATGGTAACGGAAGGCCAAAAGCACATTTACGGATGCTGGAAGAATAACATTCAAGCTACAATCACATTGAAATATAAGCTGCAAATACAGAATGTCCATCCACCTTCCGCAATACCCATTTTTCATCCAGTTTCATCCATTCTCAGGGGACAACCTGAAAGGGACGACAGTCCATCGCAGCGCAGACCCTAAATGGGACATCGGTCCATCACAGAGGACACCCTGAATGGGACGTCAGACTGAGTCTGCACTATCATAGTGCAGACTCAGAACAGGATTTTACTTCATCACAGGGAACACCCTGGATGAGATGTCAGTCCATCACAATGGACACCCTGGATAGGACATCAGTCTTCACACACACAACACAACCACCATGCTGATATTGCCCATCCCCAATACTAAAATGTCAAATGCACTCCCTGCCTCCCCGCATTCCTCCTTCTGTTCCTTCTCCCGTTACTCCTAGTGTTCCTCCCTGCCTTCCTCCCCCTGACCCTCCAGGCGCGTCCCCAGCATACCGCGATGCACTTCTCGAAGGCGGTGATCCGGTCATGGGCCACCTCCTCCCGTATGGCCACGTACATGTAGGGCACGTAGCTCAGGAAGTAGATGATGCCCCCACAAGCAGAGGCCAACTTGGCCTTGGAGTAAATCACAGACACCAGGAAGCTGGGGGGGGGGGGGGCATAGAGATTATGAAGCAGCTTTCACAGCGATGCATTTAGAAACAGTGTTACAGAGTCATTTCACAAGGGTAGCTGGCTTGCTAGCTTGCAGTGAACTGAAAGTAAAGAACCATATTCAGAAATAAAACCATCCATCTTCCATGTAGCCTGTCTAACAGAGGGCTGCAGGAGCCCGGGGCCTATCTGAAGAATCACAGGAAAGAGGCACCCGGAATGAGAGGCCAAACAGACACACAGAATGGGCAATTTAGTGCAGTGTTTCTCAGCCCAGTCCTCAGAGGACCACAGACAGGCCACATTTTTGCTCCTTCTCAGCTCCCAGCCAATCATAAACACCAAATACCTGGTGCAGGTGTGATGGAAGCTGGGAGGGAGCAAAAACGTGGCCTGTCTGGGGTCCCCGAACACCATGTTGAGAAGCACTGATTGAGAGACACCGATTCCCCAAACTACATGTTTTCGGACTGTGGGGAAAACTTTGGCAAACACAGGGAGAAGCAGCAGACTGCAGATTTACAACAGCCCTAGCAGCAAGTGGCAAGAGCACACATCTGTCTGTCACACGTACTGTATCTATACAGGGTTCTTCCCAACAAAGCATTAGAATATAAAGAGCAGAAAAGACCACTTCTGAGATTTTCTGGTAACCCTCCCCCCCCCCCCCAGCCGGCTACCCAAACAGGCTGCTCTTTTCCTCTCACCAGAACATGATGGTGGCAACGGCATAGACAGTGAGGAAGAGCCAGATGATGAAGGGGTCGCTGTGCATGAGCACCCTGCCGTACTTGAGGATGGCGGTCAGTGCCGTCACGGAGATGGAGAGCTGCACAAAGCCGGTGATGAACCAGGCCACCCAGTGCACAGCGTTGTTCAGCCCCATCATCTTCATCACCTGGGGGGGTGAAGGCGAGGGTTATGGACCAGTGGTGGGTGAGAGGTCGTGGATACCAACAGCTGGCAAACACTTGCAAGTTCATTTTACTTTATTTTATATAGCGCCTTTCACAACACAGTCGCCACAAGGTGCTTGACAAGAGTGTGTGACGGTGCATTATTAGCACATTTATTTTAAACCGTGAATGGGAAATAATACCAGAAAAAAAAATCATAGCAAAAAAAAAAAAACATTATAAGTAAGAGGCCAGTTGGTAACAACAGCGGGCAGCGTTCTCATAAGGGGAAAAAAGAAATAAAGAGAGTGACATACTGAGAGACAGAGAGAGCGAGAGAGAGAGCGAGAACAAGAGAGAGAGAGAGAGAGCTTTAGAAAGAGATGGCCGAGGGCTTCAGTAACACTTCAGTAACACGCCTACATGCCCACACACAGATGGCTTCAGCAAACACACACATCTACAAAGGAGGTCTCTGTGCTTTAATGCAGTGCGATCTGAACTCAACAAACCTGACAAGAACAAAACTGTCAGGCAGTGTCACTATCGTGGTTC